TCTAGGAGTTCTGACTGTACCTTTTCAGATCTCCGAAACTGGTCAGGCCGTACTGACGAAGATCAGAGCTCTGAAAGAGGAGGAGAAGCAGCTTTTGGCTTCCATCACCGATGAGGAGCAGAGAGATCTGGTGAGTAGGCTTTATGCCAAAAATTCAGAAACCTGGAAAAAAAGTCAATCTTCTTAAGGTCGAGTCCATTGTTGACAAGGAAGAGGAGGAAGAGGACAAGAAGGCTATCGCCACCCTAGAGAAAGAGGAAAACGAAGACGCAGAAGAGGTTTGTCCAAAATCCACCTGATCATCAGCACTTAATCCCTTACCTATGTATTGTGATATGATTTCAGGGAGATGAAGAGGAGGAGAACGTTCGTGAGAAGCGTGCCGCCCGTGGAGTACGTTCTTTTCTTATATAGCCAATGGCCACTGCATTCGTACGGTTTCAAAATGGTCGTGATTTTCAGAGAAGAAGAAGAGTCAGCAGGAGAGGACGCAAGGGACGCTCTCGCAGACTTGCTGCCCACCGCCGTCGCGCTCACGCCGCTCGTCACCGCGCCAACCTTCGCCGCGCCAGACGCAACCACAGAATCAAGAAGATCCGCGCTCTCCAGAAGCGACGAGGATAAACCCAACTCACTCTTCTCAGCCTTAATTATTGACATTCTTGTTAGTAAACACTATTTATCTCGAATTTTTGTTTGTTTGTTTCCGAAGCGCACTTGAAAACGTGGTTCAAAACATGGAACTTTGAGCGGAGCAAAATGGAAGAGCAGAAAAGAGGCTAGGTGCCTCTGGGCTCGCTGAAGGCTCGCCCATATTGAGTCGATTAGTGATAAACTTAGCAACAACCCGCCTTCATCCATTATGCTATCCATCTAATTGTAAGGAATACAGCCATTGAATACCTGCTTGGTCGACGTCAGATTTGGGGAATCCAACGAATCGCTAGCCAGTCCACGGATTCGCTACTAGCGAATCGCTAGATCCGCAAAGTCTGGCACTGGCCATATAGTCTATTTTTGAGGATCTATACCAAAGAGGCATTCATTCCCATCAATCCTTCTACCTAACTTTGAAGGCAAACCCCGGGATTAGCCCGACTTGTGGGAAGGATACCGCGAGGGAAATTGTAAGGTCCTACCTACCTAGATCACTCCAGCTTCGCCGCAAAAATTGCGCGGTTAGGGCGCTAATCCTTACGGGCCTGCAACCATCGACCCCCGTTGCAACGCTTCCCACCCACCTCGATATCGGCGTGCTCTCTCGAACGGCGTGATCTCTCGCGTGTTTTGTCTTCTTTGACCGCCCTGCCTCGCCATCGTTCCACATCCGACCTTTTTGAAGGTTAAGGCCTTAATTTCAGCGTCCCAAAGATTTCTCTAGCTTTCCTTTCCACTTTCAGGTCGTTCCGCAGCTCAGTCATCATCACGTACAGCAC